ATCCCCTCGAGTGTCCCCCCTGAGTGTCCTCCCAGGTTCTGACCAGCTGACCATCCCCCCTGAGTGTCCCCATGTCCCCCCAGGTTCGAGAAGCTGGACATCACCCCCAAGAGCGCCCAGAAGCTGAAGCCTGTGCTGGAGAAGTGGCTGCGTGAGGCTGAGCTGCGGCAGCGCGAGGGACAGCAGCACCTGCTGGAGTTCGTGGGGGGAGAGCCCGGCAAGAAGAGGAAGAGGAGAACCTCCTTCACCCCCCAGGCCCTGGAGGCTCTCAACGCCCACTTCGAGCGCAACGCGCTGCCCACGGGCCCCGAGATCACGCGCATTGCGCAGGAGCTGCGCTACGACCGCGAGGTCGTGCGTGTCTGGTTCTGCAACCGCCGCCAGACCCTCAAGAACACCAGTAAGCTCAACGTCTTCCATGTGCCCTGAGCTGGGAGCACTGGGATCCCCTTCCCTGGGTGTCCCCCATCACCTCCCTGACCTCTTGCCAGCAGCACTTTGGGCATTGGGTTTGTCTCTCTGACGCTGTGTCCTCACTTGTGTCCATGTCCTCACCTGTGTCCTTCAGCATCTCCCACGTGCCCTGAGCTGGGGGCACTGGGATCCTTCCCTGTGTGTCCCCCATCACCTCCCCAGCCTCCTGCCAGCAGCACTTTGGGCACTGGGTTTGTCTTTCTGATGCTGTGTCCTTACCTGTGTCCATGTCCTCACCTGTGTCCTTCAATATCTCCTACTTTCCCTGAACTGGGAGCGCTGGGAATCCGTTCTGTGTCCTCTCCCCAACCTCCTGCCAGCAGCACTTGGGGCACCGGACTGGATTTGTCTCTCTGACACTGTGCCCACACCTATACCCATGCCCTCACCTGTGTCCATGCACTTACCTGTGTCTGTATCCTCACCTGTGTCCTTTAAGGTCTCCCGCTTTCCCTGAGCTGGGAGTGCTGGGAAATCCTCCTTGTGTCCCCCCTGATCTCCTGCCAGCAGCACTTTGGGCATTGGATTTGTCTCTCTGCCACCCTGTCCTTACCTGTGTCTGTGCCCTCACCTGTGTCCTTCCAACATCTCCCACGTGCCCTGAACTGGGAGCACTGGGACCCTCCCAGTGTCACCCTCCATCAGCACTTTGGCCACTGTTTTTGTCCCTTTGGCCTCCTGTTTTCCCCCTGTTCCCTCACCTGTGTCCGTGTGTGTCCTTCCCTCTGCATCACACGTGACCTAAGTGTGTTCCTGCCTCCCCACCTGTGACACACGTGGTGACAGACCCCTCCTCACCTCTCCTACCCCCCCCCAAAAAATCTATGAATCCCATTTTTTGCCTCTTTTCCCATCTTCCTAAGGCAGTGTCACGGCTTACCAGAGGTGACCCCCAATTTATGCCCCCCCAGCTGATTTCGGGGGTCTCTCACCTGAGGAGTTTCTGGAGGTGACCCCCACCTTGGGGGGACACCCCAGGGTGGGATT